CGAAGCATTTGGTTCGGTATTGTCGTCCGAAGAAATTGACTATAGCGAACTGAAGTCGAAGACAAATTTAAGACGTAGTATTCTTTTCGTCTTTCGTCTTTAGTTCATTTGAGTCATAGGATCTCCGTACTATTAAGAGGGGTGTAGGTTCTCAAAGCTTAGATCCGCTGTGATGCTTAGCCAAAACCTATGAAAGTTGTGAGAGAAATCTCTTTGTGTTCCGAGCAAGTACTTGCTAGCAAGAGACTGTGATCTTCGCTGCGAGAGATCTGTCTCAGAGCGAGGAGTTAGCATTGCTTGCTCCACAAGTAATGTTACCATTGTGCTCAAAATCCGACCGTTGGACTCGTGTCATTCGGCCATTGGCTGCTTTCGATGTCCAATTTGGTCATTTCCCATCAGGGAAGGCTGCGGCTATAAATAACCACCCGCTCCAACATTGTTCGTTGGCTGCTCCGCTTGAGATTTCTGAGAAGATTGATTTGAGCAACCCCTCTCCGAGTGATCTGAGTTTAAGATCCACCGAGAGAAAAATCAAGAGCCCAAACTTAGACAGGGGTTTAGCATCACAGTAGTTCTGAGTCAGAGTTCTTGTACCTATTACTCTTGAGAGTTGCGCACTCTCTAGACGGACAGGTTTCCGCTCGAGTGTTGAAGAGTTGTTGTCTTTACCGAGCTAGATCTTCAGCAAGGAAGAGTGATTGTGGTTTGCGAAGGTCGACCGAAGGTTTGGAGATCGCCAACAAGTATCTACCACGAGTGAAATCAACCAGAGTCTGATCAACTTTGAGTTGAAGGAGAATAGAGTGAAGAGAGTTTATCTTCCGTGTTAAGTCACAGCCCCTTGAACCAGACGTAGCTCTTTGGTAGAAGGGTGAACTGGTTTACCAAATCTCTCTGCCACCATCGAGCACCACTGATTCATTCTACTCTACTGCAATTCCTTCAGCGGTTTACTTTCATGCTCTGTGTTGATAGTTACCTGATCATTATCATATGTTGTATCCTTCATTTACATCATTCATCTCTATTGTTTTGCATTAGTTATCATTGTGTTCATCATGTTGCTTTCTCATCACTTGTTTTTGATTCATCACTATCATATTCCTCGGTTCATCTGTGATATCATACTATAGTTTTATTTCACTGTGCATGTCATGTTTTATCTCATGTTACTTCATGTGGTTGTTTGTAGCATTACGAGCATTGTGATCAAACCTGTGTTACTACATGCCCGTGCCATAATTGCTTCCTACGTCGATGAACATGGTCCCCAACATCGTGTTTGATTGAGCTGTTTTCCTTTGTACCTTATTTCCGTTGCTGTGTTTGGGATCAGTTCAAAACTTTC